AGCTTATTAAAATTAGTAAGTTCAAATAGCTATTTAAATCAATTTAATATAAAACCAGTGATGTGTTTCATAAGAATTTTCTACATAAAATAACTGATTAATTTTTCTCAAAAATATGGATAGAACTAAGTAATTCGTTACACAACTATTGGGCACAGTATTTCGTATTGGCTGCATGTTAGGCACGTGTCCTAGTCGCAGGGGATGAACAGTGAAAAGAACTAAGTGCTTGCTTTGTGGGGGAGACAGTAAGTCTGAAAATACATAGCAATGTCACCTAGTGAACACTTGAGAAAAGAGAGGGAGAGAAGATTTTTCTAATGAGGGAACATTAAGCAGCAACCTGAAAGTGAACAGGCGAACTACGCAGCTATGTGGGAAAAGAGTCCCAGGGAGAGGAAACAGCAAAGGCGGAGGCTTCACGGCAGGAGCATATTCAACATTTCTAAGACAGTGGCAGAGGTCCCAGTGGCTACTGAGCAATCAGCTGGGTAGGGCAGTGGGAGATGAGGCGTGAGAGAGGGCTGTGCAGGCCAAGGTAAGAACGTGGAGTTTATTCTGAGTGTGATGAAGAGCCAGTGGAAGGTTCTGAGCAGGGCAATGACATGATCACATTTTTCACTTAGGAGGCCTAGTATGGCTCTCTTTAGGAAAAACAGATTGAAAGGGAGCAAGAGTGAAAGCAGGAAGGCCACTTAGAGGCCACTGTAATAGTGTGAACGAGAGGTGATGGTGGCTTGGAATAGAAGATGTCTGAAGTAGAGGTGTTGAGAAGTGGTCAGATTTGGGATATATTTTAAAGGCAGAGCTGTCAGGATTTCCTCATGAACTGCATGTTTCACTTCTAAGAACTTAACTCAAGGATTTTGTTATGGCTATTCAGAAAGATTTATACATGAGGATTCACAAAACGGGCTGCATATAACTGGATGCAGGTGATTAGCTTAATAAACTCTGGTATAGCCATGAACTAGAAAAGATGTAGCTGACTTGGAAACAATATATTAAGCAAAAATAATTACAAAACAAAATATTCAATATTAACCCATTTTGTCCAAGTAAAATGCAGAGAAAAAAGACTAAAGGTTATATACCAACACAGTAACAAAATTTCTCTCTAGGGTGTGCAATTACACGTTTGTAACTTTCCTTCTTTGAGCTTAATGTATTTTGCCAATTTTCCACAATGACCAAGTATTACTTGTATAAGAAGAAATAATTTTAAAAATTTAATACTGAAAGACCATTTTCAACAAATATGATTATAGCATAACGATTTGAGTACATTAATAGTTTTGTTACTTACCATCACTTTTCGCAAAGTGTATCTTTTGCACCGAATGTCATCCATTAGCATCTCATAAGGGGTGAGCTGATATTCAATGGGCAAAGGGTTATACTGCCGCTCTTGGACCTTCTTAAGTTTTACCCCATTCCTCAAATCCCTCATCACCTGTGCCCAGAATCGTGCCTGAAATAAGCAAGAGAGGAGAGATAGCAATGAATAAATTTACTAGTTTCCTCTAAATAGCTGCAGTCGTACAGAATAAAAGAAGATCTTAGATTACAAAATACTGAGTAAACTAAACAAAAACTATTTTAAAAATTAGATTTTAAGATACTAAAAGATAGGTAGAAAGTCAGTTGAGAATCCACAGGCTCTACCTGCTGAGGCATCTGGGTTTAAATCCTAGCTCCACCACCATGGCAGGCTGCATTAAGGGACCCAGTTCTTCATGTCTCCCTGTGTCTACACCCTGCTACGTGACTTTGCTCACTAATGAGGAGTATATTTCCCACACCCTGACTTTGGGTTTGGCTATATGGTTTTCTTGGCCACTGGAAGAGTGGTGGATGTGATGAGACCACGGGCTTCAAAAAGCACTTGTCCCTCCTGTCTCTATTACAGCCATGAGAACATCAAGCCTGGAGTGGCCCGTGTTCCCTGTAGAGTGGAGCTACCATAAGGGATCTGCAGACCCCTGAGCTAGATAAGTGCTTTTGCTTTACGCCGCGGTGATCCTGTAGTGGTTACACGGCATTTCTGTGGCCACAGCTGACTGACACAACCACCTACTAGCTACCTGACCTCCAGCAAGTTGCTGAACCTTTCTGAGCTCTAGTTTCTTTTCAATAAAAGAAAATAACACTTCGTAACTTGTTGAGAAGATCAGAATTGATATATAGTGTTCTGTATAATGAACATGCTCAAAAATGACCCTTTTAATATTGTTACTATCTTTGCACACATTATTTAATCACAGTTTTCTTATCTACAAATAATAGGTTGCCTTGTTTACCTTTAAGAGTTCTGAGAATAAAATGAAATTTACATGAAAGTACTTAATATAAAACATATTAA